TTCAGCCTGCATCAGCCTCAGCCTCAGCCTCAGCCTGCCTCAGCATCAGTCTCAGCCTGCCTCATCCTCAGCCTGCCTCAGCCTCAGCCTCACAGTTGGCTCCAGGCAATCAAAATATGATACAAGAATGGTGTTCTGGGAACACGAAGATCACGAAAAGGCCTACAGTTGGCTCCGGGCATTCAAAATGTGGCCTGGGAATGGTGTTCTGGGAACACGAAGAACGCGAAGTAGCCTACAATTGGCTCCGGGCATTCAAAATGTGGCCTGGGAATGGCGTTCTGGGAACACGAAGAACACGAAGTGCCCTACAGTTGGCTCCGGGCATTCAAAATGTGGCCTGGGAACGGTGCTCTGGGAACACGAAGAACACGAAGTGGCCGACAGTTGGCTCCCGGCATTCAAAGTGTGGCCTGGGAATGGTGTTGTGGGAATGGATTCCTAAGGATTCCTAAGAATTCCTAATGATTCCTAAGGATTGCCGGTTTTGTCCAGTTTTGTCCGGATCCCGCCCAGACCCCCCTGGGGCGTCAAGATGCTCTCTTTTGACTCCACTAGAAACCTATCAGTCTTCGCTGTTAGGTAACAGGCTCCAGCCGCGTCCGCGCGCACGACGACGATGAGCGACGAGCGACGAGCGACGAGCCACGAGCGACGACGACGACGACGACGACGGCGACGACAACGACGACGACGACGACGTCGACGACAGCGGACCAGACTCCAATATGCGGATTCCTACGCGGACACCCACGCGGATCCCAATACGCACGGCGGCAGTGCCCGGAGCGCACTGGGGGGGGGGAGCGTTACGTCTAAGGGGGGGGGGCGGGGGCCATGACGCCCAGCATGCCCCAAGCACTAAAGAAATGGTATCTTTTTTGCTACTGAAGCGGGTAGACCAAATTACTGGAAAATGTTCCTCATTACTAAATCGGGTGGGTTTGGTTACTGAAGCGAACTCCTTTGGTAATGAAACGGGTAACCTTCATGATTTGTAACACTTGCTTTCTTATGGAAACGGGTGGGCCAAATGTTTGAAACAATTTGTTTGTTATTGGAACGGGTAGGCCAATATATTAAACAAGTGTTTGTTATTGAAACTGGTTGGCCCCGTTACTGAAATGATTGTCTTTGGTATTGAAACGGACGGCCCCAATTACTGAAACAAGCTTCGTTGTTACTGATACACGTGAAGCCGATTACTGAAACACTCGACCTTATTATTGAAGCTCTCGGTTGCTACTGGAACGTTTTTTTTGGTTACTGGAGCACCTGCTGTTCAATTATGGAAGCCCGTGGGTGCAATAATGGAGACCCGTCATCGCAATCATAGAAAACCGTCGATGCAATTATGGAAACCCGTGTCCAAATGTAGAAACCCTTGTGCAATCATTGAATCCGCGGTCTCCCGTCAACTTTCAAAGGCAAATTTGTCATTGAACAGCAGGTTCAAATAACGCTTCGTTCTTAAAGACATGTCCGGAATGCTGTCGAATTTCGCATCCACCTGGGCACGTGCAAAAAAACGGATGCTAATGCACATGTTCTGTCCGCCTAAACATCCAATATCTTCCCACTTGCATGGTGATCCGCAAAGACTTCAATGTGGGCAGAACCATCAATTTTCTTTTGAATCGTGGGGATTGAATAGGTGGTAAACTGTTCTAGAGGCTTTGCGAAATACGTTTTCCCAATCGCGAACCAAACAGTCCGGCACATGTCCAAATTCGGCAACTTGCTTTGAACAAATGTCAGCAATCACGTCTTCGTCTCCGACTCACGGTCGTATGCTCTAAAGTTGAAATCGCCAAGTGTAATTGTGATTGGCCGATGCCAGCAAAATTTCTGCGACTCTGTCGAAAAAGTCGCACCTATTTTCATAATCGTGGCCGCCATGGGGCGCGCAAGGCAAGCAGAAATAAGATAGAGAATGCCGCCTTCAACCTTGACCTTTAAGATTGCGAGCCTGTCTGAAACAAACTTGTACTTGATGATCGACTTAGTGGCCCAATGACCAATCAACAATCCAACGCCGGAGTAATCGCCCATCTCCCGGTGGCTTAGATGTACCAGAAAGGACAAGCATACAATTATTGTCGACAAAGTGTTCTGTCTGAGGGGAGACAGCGAATTCAATAATTGAGCACAAGTTTCAATGACTGAAGACTGGCTGCAATAACTACGAAACCTGGCTCCAATAACTACGCACATTGATTTCATTAATCGCGAACAGCGGTTCCCATAACTGCGAACACTGGTTCCAACAACAACGACCTAACAACAACGACCTCTGGCTCCAATAACTACGAACCTCACGGTCGTATGATACAAATCCCCTCGGCTGGCGCCCTAACCTGGGCAACGCTGCCGAAACCCGCGCCCCGTCGCCAGGCCCACTGGCGCCCCCTAGGTCCGGCTGCGCGCCAATCAGCGTTCGTGACATGATGTGGGGAATCTACTCGGCTGAAACCGCCTGTGGGCGCTGGCGCGCGTTGCGCAGCCCTTTCGCTTGCTACAGATGATCGGGCCGGCGGCTTCGATGATGTGCTTGCCGGCCTGGCCCAATCGATGATGCCGAGATCAGTTCGCACGCAGCATGTCCAACGGCATGTCGGGCACCGTCCCTTCGGCACGCAGTGGACCAAGGCTCATACGGGTCTGGACGATACAGAAGCTATAACATTCCCCAAGCAATGCTTGCTCTTGGGGGCCTGGGTGGCGGTCTGTAGACTCCGTGCTCGCTGTCGCCGCCCCGTCGCCGCCTCGTCGCTGCGGGTCCTCTGGGCCTGGGTGGCAATCTGGCGGCGCCGTGCTCGCCGTCGCAACCCCGTCGCCGCCTCGTCGCCGCCTCGTCACCGCCCGTCGTCTGGGCCCGGGTCGCGGTCTGGCGGCTATGTTGTCGCCGTCGCCGCCCCGTCGCCACCACGTCGCCGCCTCGTCACAGCTCGTCGTCTGGGCCCCGGTGGTGGTCTGCCGGCTAAGTGCGCGCCGTCGCCGCCTCGCCACCGCTCAAGATTGCACAACATAGGTTGCACCACAGAGATTGCAACGCATGCATTGCACATAGTTACTCGACATAGATTGCACCACATAGATTCCACACCATAGACGGCTCCACCATCATTGCACAACATAGAGTGCACAACCAATATTAACCACATATGTTGCGTAACATAGACTGCACCACGTAGATTAAAGCACTGATCGTCCCACATAGATTGCACAACATAGTTGGTTAGAAGCACACTGTTTGGGGTCCACGGTGGCTAACAGTCTGAACTGCTTGGACCGCCGAATTACTGGAATTCACTTGGCGCTGCCCGAGCGCTTCTGGCATATCTCGCGAGGCCCACTATGAAGCCAAGTCTGTCCAAACCGACTCCAACATCGTCCAAGAGCAAGAAATGCTCCAAAACGTTCAAAACCCTCGGTGGTCCCAAGAGAGTTCGGAAAACGGCCTCGGGGGCCACAACAAAAATGCCGAGAGGGCCAAACAAGGAGCCCAACTGAGGAAGCTCGAAGAGACCACTGGGGCTGTACAGTGATATGGCGCCTGAAATCGCCTCCAAGCCCCCAAGGGGATTCCAGAAGCCCCTTGGAGTCCCCAAAGAAGCCTCCAGAAGCCCCCCAAGAGTTCCCGGAGAAGCCCTAAAGAAGTCACGAAGAGGCATCCAAGATGCGCGTCTCGGAGCAAATTGTGAGGGAAGTATCGGGCGGCAGCCGTTGTCTTCGCAGTTGGGCCGTCACTAACCTAAGTGTACTGCAAGGAAGACTCTGGCTAGGGCGTCTCGAGTTGTAAGGAAGTGTCGAGCGGGAACCCTTGTCGTCGTAGCTGGGCATTCCCCGACCTGGACAACTTACCGGGAAGGCTCGAGCGAGAGCGCCGTTCCCGAGTTTGGGGGCCTCTCTGGCCAGGGCGTCTTAGAGTAAATTGCAACGAAGTATCGAGCGGGAGCCGTTATCGCCGTAGCTGGGCCTTGAACAACTCACATCTGGACAGAAACCTGCGCTCTGGCAGTGACGCAGCATTCAGAGCAAATGGGGCCCGCGTCGAGGCGAGAACGCCCGGAACCGTTTTCGTAGAGCAGCAATAACAATTCTCAAGAAATGAGTTCTCGACGACGAAGACTACAAGAGACGGGGACCACAAAGACGAAGACGACGACGACGACGACAACAACGACGGACGACGACGACGACGACGACGACGACGACGACGACGACGACGATGACGACGACGACGCGCGGTGCGAGCGTGGGGACGAGTGTGGGGACGAGCACGACGACGACGACGACGACGCCGACGACGACACGGCAACGCGCGGCGTGGGCGGATGACCTTTCCGACCAGGAGTGGTCGCCGCAAGGCGCCCCCGCCCGCTCCACATCGGGTGGGGCGGCGGCGGCGGCGGCCGCGCTGGCCCGCTGCGGTGACACTTCAGGGTCCGCTGGCGCTGGCAGAGACGGCTCTGCTGCTGCTTGGCCCGCGGCGCTCGCGGTGGCTGGCGCCGCCCTGGCGCTCGCGGCGCGCGACTCGGCTCTCAGCACTGGAGCGCCGGCCGCAGGATCGCTGCGACGCAGCAGGCTGCAGGCGAGCGCTGGCCGCCCTCCAGCGCAGCACGCGCTGGCTAGGCTCGCTGCGGTGGCGCTGCGCTCGCCGCGCTGGCTGTAGGGTGCGGCAGCAAGATGCCGCTCCTCCCTGACCTCTCCAGGCGCGCGTCCTGACCAGAATGTCGAGGAGAACACCGCCGTGGCGACATGGACTCTCCAGGAGAAGCCGCGGCTCTGGTGGTTTGTCCTCCTCTGACGGAGTGGGGGTACCAAGGGAGGAGGTCGACTACACGCAAGAACCACCCTGGGTAAGAGTGGCCTTTGGTGCGCGGCTTCTCGGGGGCCGCGGGGGAACCAGACACAAGCGCGCAGCCACCGAACTTCGCTCAGCAATCGGGGGACCCCAGTGGGCCCGCACCAAGGGTCACTCCAGCGAAGGGTCACTCTTACGTGTAGTCGAGGAGGGAGGGCAGGTAGGCTGGCGCGTGCGAGCACGCACCGAGGCAGGGAGGGAGGCCGCGCGGAGTAGGCGCCGGCGGCCAGCGGCCAGCGGATGCTAGGTGTAGGTCAGGCATGTCCTCCTACAGATTTTGGACGAACAATGAAAATATAAAAAAAACTCGAAGATGGTAAAAAAATTGTCGACGAATCGTCCCCAGACTACTTTTGACTAGTTTTGAATATGATACCAGAGAAAAGCCCAAATCATCATCTTTTTAGGGCTATAGGGCTATGGGGCTACAGGACAACAGGGCTATAGGGCTATAAGGCTATGGGGCTATAGGGCTGTACGGCTATAGGCTATAAGGCTATAGGGCTATAGGGCTATGGGGCTATAGGGTTGTAGGGCTATACGGCAATAAGGCTACAGGGCTATTAGGGCTATTACAGGCCTATCATATAGGGCTACTAGGGCTATACGGCTATAAGGCTATAAAGCTATAGGGCTCTAGGGCTACCGGGCACCCGGGCACTCGGGCACCCAGACACCCGGGCGTGCCGCCGAAATCGGCGCCAACCCCTCACCTAACCATATGAATCCGCTAAGACCCCTACAGGGGCAAATTGGGGAATTCCTCCTGTAGACGGACATGCCCGACTCAATGCTAGGCGCTTCCTCCCTGGCGCGCGCGTCTTCGCGAGCGGCCAGGGCGCTCGGCTGCGGGCCCGGCGCGAGATGCACCTCCACGCCCCATTGCTGCTGGTGCTGCTGGTGCTGGTGTTGGTGGTGCTGCTGCTGCTGGTGCTGGTGCTGGTGCTGCTGGTGCTGGTGCTGGTGCTGCTGCTGCTACTGCTGCTGCTGCCGCGGAGCCGGCGAAGACCACGACGACGACCGCGGCGGCGATGGCGACGAGTCTACGAGGCGACGAGGCGACGACGACGGCCTTGACGATGACGAAAACTACGGGGTCGCTCGGCGCGGCCGCCCGGGGCCGGCGGCGGGTCATCAGAACATGTCGCCCATGCCTGTGCGCCCCGGAGCGAGCAGGGGCCGCGTCCGACGCCGTCGGCCTGTTCTCGTCCTCCTCCTCCTCCTCCTCCTCCTCCTCCTGCTCATCCTCCTCTTCATCCTCTTCATCCAACTCATCATCATCATCATCATCATCATCATCATCATCATCATCATCATCATCATCATCATCATCATCATCATCATCATCATCATCATCATCATCATCATCATCATCATCATCATCATCATCCCCACCACCACCATCATCACCACCACCACCGCCCCACCACACCATCATCATCATCATCAGCAGCAGCATCATCATCATCACCATCATCATCACCATCAACAGCATCATCATCATCATCACCACCACGACCATCATCATCAACACCACCATCATCATCAGCAGCAACAGCAGCAGCACCACCACCATCACCATCATTATCATCAGCATCATCGTCATCAGCATCATTAGCATCAACATCATCATCAGCATCATCACCACCATCGTAATCATAAGAATGATCAGTATCACCATCACAATCAAAATCACCAACACCATCACCACCACCATCACCATAAATATCATCACTATCACCACTATCATCCTCATCCTCATCATCACCAGCATCAGCATCAGCATCACCATCGTCGCCATCATCACCATCATCATCACCACCATCATTATCATCATGATCATGATCACGATCATGATCTTGATCATGACCATCATCATCATCATCACCATCATCATCATCGTCATCGTCATCGTCATCGTCATCGTCATCATCATCATCGTCATCATCATCATCATCATCATCATCATCATCATCATCATCATCATCATCATCATCATCATCATCATCATCATCATCCCGCGACCCACCCGCGACCCATCCGCGACCCACGCCTATTGCTTCGACGAAAAAATCAGCGCCTGCGGCGGGCTTCTTCAGAGCCTCGCAGGCTTGCGACGTCCCCGCCGCCCTCTCCCTCGTATCCGCAACTGCGGGGTGCTATACTGTTCGTATACATACATCTACATGCACATATGCGAGCGTTTTCTTACTCGGCGTTTCGACACTGGGCGGAAGGGGGGGGAAGGGGGTGGTCTGGCTCCGGACCTCTGCTTCTGCAGCGGTGCGTCCTATGGGGGGAGACTCCACCTGCTTGAAACAGGTGCCAGAAACAGCCAAGAGCTAGTCCACGGGGGGGGAGGGGGGGGGCGAGGGCCCGCGCCGATCGGCAAAACAATGAATAAACATACGATTATCCCCTCTGCCTGTTCCGACCGTCCGCTTCGCCGCCTCACTCCAGTTCCCCCTTCTCCCTCCCCCTCCTGTTCGTCTCTTGCTCCTCCAGTGCACCCTGCACGCCACTTTCCCCCCCAACCGCTCGAGATCCCTTCTCTCTCTCTCTCTCTCCCACAATCGTACTGCCTCCTGTTGCCTATATGCTGTATAAGCCCCCCCCCAAAAAAAAAACGTACGGAGGCTGGCCAAAAGAAGGTTTGCGTTTGCCCACACACTCACACATAAACGCAAACACGCACTCGGACACGCGAGAGAGACATACTTCCATTCCATAACACTTCCTTTAATCCGTGTGACCCCCGTCGTCACCAATTGCCCGCGCCTCCAAAGGCGTCGCCCAAGAAGTCGGCCCCGCCTCCGCTTCGCGCGGGAACCGGGAGGTGCGGAAGACCATGAGGCGAGTCCACGACGAGCAGAGGACAATTGTGGGCATCGCTGACACGTGTGAATACCTGAAGGCACCGAGCAGGTCGACACCCCAAGCGACTGATCAGCACACCTCAAGCCGACATGCAAGCGTACACGAGCTTTGTGGTTGGCGTACAGTGGGCAACGCTTGCAAAAGCGTGATCGCGCATGTCCGCGCATGTGTACACGCCCCTGCGCAGGTGCACACGTGCAACAGGTACGGCCATAACCAAACACAATGCATGACTGCACAAAAACGTATTTTCTACGTGCACATGCATAGACGACTGAACGATCATGTAGACACGGTCGCGCAAATGCATTCGTATACGCAACGTGTGTGCACGTGCGTACGGCAAAGTATGCGTACGCGCGTGTACACAATACAAACATTATACATCACGCGTGCACGCAACACCTTTACGTGCGTATGTCAACGTACGCGCGTACGTACTCTTACCGCCAAGGTGCCGCAAGGCTTCGAACCAATAGAAGGAAAGATGCCAAGGGACATACGCAGAGGCAACACCAGGAGAATCTGAAGGAGGAGTCAGGACCCCCTCCTCCTGCCGCTTCCTCCGCAATCCTCCTCCCTCCTCATCCTTCCTCCTCCCTCATCTTCCTCCCCATCACTCCTCCTCAACTCCGTTCTTCTCTCTCTCCCTCCCCCGACCCCCCTCTTCCCTCTACCCTCCTCCGCCGCGCCTTCCATCCTCCTCATCCTCATCATACCATCACCACCAGCATCATCAGCATCACCAGCACATTCATCATTACCATCATCATCATCAGCATCATCACCATCAGCATGATTGTCATTATCATCATCAGCATCATCATCAGCATCATAATCATCATCCTAATCATCGTCGTCGTCATCATCACCATCATCATCCAGCATCATCTGCATCAGCATCAGCATACTGACCAACAACAACATCACCGCCACTATCATCATCAGCAGCAAAATCATTATCAGCATGATCATCATGACCAGCATCATCATCAGCAGCAACACCATCGTCAGCATCATCATCATCAACAACATCAACATAAATATCATCATCACCGTAACCGACATCATCATCATCGTCATCATCATCATCGTCAGCATCATCATCCTCATCGTCCGTATCATCAGCATCAGTATCAACAGCAGCATAATCACCATCTACAGCAGTCATCAGCAGCATCAGTATCATTATCCTCGTCACCATCATCATCAGCATGATCATTATGATCACCATCATCATCATCACCAGCATCATCATCATCATAAAGAAAATAATCAACAGCATCGTCGTCATCAACATCATCAGCATCATCATCAGACTCGTCATCCTAATCGTAATCATCACCACCACCGCCATCATCATACTCGTAATCAGGATCGTTCGAAAAGTCATCACCACCACCAAGATCATCATCATCATCATCATCATCATCATCATCATCATCATCATCATGGACAAGATCATCATCAGCAGCAGCAACAGTATCATCATCATAATCATCATCGTCATCACCAACATCATCACTACCATTACCATCATCAGCATCACCACCATCCATCCTCATCATCATCACACTCATCAGCAGCATCATCACAATAAACCTTCATCATCCTTATAAATCATCATATCATCAGCATCATCATCATCAGCAACATCATCATCAGTAGCATCATCATCCTCAACATCATCTCATCATCTCATCTTCATCATCATCATCATCATCATCATCATCATCATCATCATCATCATCAGTATCATCATCCTCATCCTCATCCTCATCCTCATCCTCATCCTCATCCTCATCATCATCATCATCATCATCATCATCATCATCATCATCATCATCATCATCATTATCAGCGTCACCATCACCGCCGCCGTGGTCACCATCCATCCTTCGCATGTACCACCCCGCTTACAGCAGCCTTTTGTGCGAATGCACTCTGACGGTGTTCTCCTTCCTCTTCCAAAACCCAATTCCCTTCGGAGAGGGGTACCCTTCCCCTCCCCTTCCTGAGTCTTTTTTGGGGAGGTGTCCAGCCACATTGCAGCATGGCCGCTCTCATCGTGCAGGCGTCGGTCAGCATATGCGTGCGTCCGAAGAGGGGGAATCACCTTGACCCAAGGTCATCCGTCCCGACTGCCGTTACTGGGACGGGCGTCCAGAACGAGACGGAGAGCAGGCCCCCCATCGTGGGGATGCCTCGTGCCCCCGTGAAGATGACCAGCTCGTGGCTTCGAAGGTCATAACGAATGGCCCGACCCCTTGATGCGCAGAGGGCGAGGGGGCCATGCGCCCCGCTTCTAGATGGTGTTCCCCAAGGATTCGGTCGGGCATGTCCTCCTACAGGCGGACCTCTGAAGAAACAAATAGCCAAAACATACTCCCAAATAGTCAGAAATGGTAGAAACAAATCGTCCCCGGACCATTTTTCTACTATTTCTGAACATTCCTCCTGTGGAGGAGCACGTCCGACTGAACCCCAAGAGGGCTGGGACCAGTCCCTGCCGGCGACACCATCAGGCAGCGGCAAGGGCGAGGCCCGTCTGGGACCTCCGCCGCCGCCGCTGCGCCTGGGCTCCTCCCAAGCCGCGGGAGGCGGGCTGCCCCGTCGCTGCCGTCGGAATCGGCGCCGTCGGCCCGCGCCGCCCTCCTAGGAGTCAGCGTGGTCGTCGAGCACGTTGGCGTCGAGCGCGCCGGCGTAAGCGGGCGGCGAGCGAGGGGGGGAAGTGAGGAGGGGTGGGCCTTCTCAGAAGGCTCGGAAGCCCTCGGGCCTTCTGAGAATGTTTCTCAGCCTTCCCCGACGACACCCCCTCAGAAGGCGCGAGGGCTTCTGAGAAGTCCCGCCGCCTTCTGGGGAGGCCTTCTCCTTCTCACTTCCCCCCCTCGCTCGCCGCCGAGGGAGGGTCGGCGCGTGCGTCGTTGAACGCGGCGCAGGGCAGCCGTCTTCGGGCTCGTCGTGCTCGTGGAGCCCGAGCGCGGCCCCTGCTTGGGTCAGCCTCGTAGGCCAGTCTTGCACAGGTGCGAATGGCCCATCTGGGGCCAGCGTGGCAATTGCCATCGTCGGCGTTCTGTCCCATCAATGATGCGACTGAACTCAGCCGATGTTTCAGGAACTGGGCTGGGTCTTCTGCTATCGCTACGAAGTCAGGCGAGGCCTGCAGCGTCTCCTTATTCCCAGCCCTGCTCCTCATGACGGCCCTTGTCGTTCCCTTGGGGCCCCGCGCAAGTTCCTGGAGCTTGCAAGCGAGATCGC